TTTTTTTTTTCGGTTTTCCATGAAGTTGGGGATAAATATAAATTAAATATATCCTTATAATTGGTAAAATTTGCTGAGAAGAAATTATACCTATAAGTAAATAATTGTAGCTACTATAAAAATATTAATTTCAAGTCGATCATTTATAATGGTTTTAAGTCGTCGTTTTCTTTGGCTTATTCTTATTTTAATTTTTGTAAGGTTTTACTATAAAAAAATTAAGTTCATGTCAAACCACTACATCAAATTTAAAAGTGATTTTCATTCTCAGGTCACTCGCCTAAGATGCAGCGGGTTCATCTTCGCCCTCCGCCTCAACCACACAATGGCTGACGGCGCAGGTCTCATCCAGTTTTTGTCGGCCATCGGCGAGCTCGCTCTTGGGGCCCGGAGCCCCTCCATCCTCCCAGTTTGGGAGCGACACCTCCTCAGCGTGCGGGACCCACCGGCGGCCACTCGCGTGCACCTCGAGTACGACACATTGCCCGACGGTGATCCCATCCCGCTCGAAAACCTCGTGCAGCGCTCTTTCTTCTTTGGGCCAGCCGAGATCTCTGCCCTCCGCTGCCGCCTCCGGCCCGACCTTAGCAGTCGTTCCACTGCATTCGATATCCTCACGGCCTGCATTTGGTGGTGTCGCACGGCAGCCTTGGCCACCGACCCCCACCAGGTGTTCCGGGTCGACTGCATTGTGAACTGCCGGAAGAGGTTCAACCCACCGCTCCCCGACGGCTACTATGGTAATGCCTTTGTCTTCCCGGCGGCGATCTCCACCGCCGGAGATTTAACCAAAAACCCACTTGATTATGCGGTGGAGCTCGTGAGGAGGGCCAAATCGGAGGCAACCGAGGAGTACGTGATGTCGGTGGCGGATCGAATGGTTAAGAGTGGCCGGCCTCATTTCTCGATGGTGAGGACTCTTATAGTTTCCGATTTGACTCGCTTGGGCATTGAGAAAGTGGATTATGGGTGGGGCCACCCCATATATGGCGGCATTCCGATACCGGGAATCACGGGGTTTCCGGGAGTGTGTTTTTACACCCCGTGGAAGAATAGTGAGGGTGAAATGGGGATATTAGTCCCCATTTCTTTACCGGAGAATGCGATGAATGTATTTGCCAAAGAGCTTAAGGTGATGGTGAAAAGGAATGATAAATGATTTGGAGGAGACTGGTCAAGACAACAAGTTTCATCAAGTTTGGCATGTGAAAGTTTGCATATTATGTATTAAAATAATTAATGACCATTCTAGAATCAATTATTGCTTGTAATAATGTTCAATTATTAGTAGTATTAGTTGTCACATTAGTTGGCAATTGCAATAATTGGACTCTAGAATTATCCATTGTATGCTTTATATATGTGTGTGTTTGGAATGGAAGAAATGCAAGAAGCAAAAGCAAGAAAAGAAGAATTCAAGAGTCTAAGAATTCAAGAGTCTAATTCATCTATATTACTATCTCTTCAAAAAGTTTTTTTTCATTACATATATAGAGAAATGCTCACCTACCCACGGTGGGCACATGTTAATATGCCCACCGCGTAAGTGGCATGCACTCATTGGTGATGTATTTTTTTGAATATATTAACATCACCAATGAGTACATGCCACCTACGCGGGTGGGCATATTAACATGTGCTCACCGTGAGTAGGGGAGCATTTCTCTACATATATAATATATTCTCTTCTTCAATATTATTTTACAAATTATAATTCTTTCTCCAATTTTAATTATAAATTACTTTTGATACCAACAGTGGTATCAGAGTCCGGTTGGATTAATAGTTGGGCGAAATTATTTTTTGATATCCTCCTATTTTTACATATCTTGACCAAATACCATACTTACACATATCCTTCTACTTTCATATTACCTACTAAATTTCAACAATGGTCACTTCCCAAAACACCCACCAAATACCAGTTTCTATTTTTTCCGGTGAAAATTACAACTATTGGGCCTTTAAAATGAGAACATATTTTATGTCTCAAGGCCTATGAAATATTGTCGAGAACGGGTATACTATACCTGATGATATTTCTACTTTGTCTACGGCGGACGAAGAAAATTCGACCGGGAGAAGGAAAAAGACAGTTTGGCCCTTTTCACACTACAAATGGCCATGTCGGAGTCCCTGTTTCCGAGAATTAGCGGAGCACAGACATCAAAGGAGGCGTGGGATACTCTCAAGGAAGAATACCAGGGTAGTGACAAGGTACATCATCTGAAATTACAAACTCTAAGAAGAGATTTGGAAAATATGATGATGAAAGAATCTGAGACCATAAAAGATTACTACACTCGATTAAGAGAAGTAGTAAATCAACTAAAAGCATATGGAGAAAATATTACTGACAAAAGGGTGGTAGAAAAAATTCTAATTACTCTACCAGCCAAATATGATCCTATCGTCACGACGACAAAAGAAACTAAAGATTTGGATCATTTGTCAGTAACAGAATTAATAGGTTCCTAGAAGCCTATGAAAAAAGACTGAGTATGCGTGAGAATGACACAGTTGAAAATGCATTTCAGTCAAAATTAAATTTACGGTCTCAGAATTCTAAAATTGGGGGGAGGAGATTTGGAGAAAATAATAAAAATAAAAATCAAGGTGGAAATAATAATAAGCAACAAAAAGGAAAATATCCACCTTGTGGAGTTTGTAAGAAAACCAACCATCTTGAGAAGGATTGTTGGTACCGGAATAAACCATAATGTAAAAATTGTGGTAAATTCAGTCATGTGGAGAAAAATTGCCGCGCTAAAGGATATCAAGCAAATTTCTCTGAAGAAAATGAAAAAGGAGAAAATTTGTTATTTTATGCAAATCAAGCAACTTCAGAAGAGAAAAATGATATTTGGTTCCTAGATAGTGGTTGTAGCAACCATATGACCGGAGATGAGAAGAAACTTAAAAATATAGATCAATCAGTAAAATCACAAGTTCGGTTGGGAAATGGAGATCTAGTAGAAGTTGAAGGCAAAGGTTCAATAAAAGTCGAGACTCAAAAAGGTACTCGTCTCGTTGAAGATGTGCTGCTAGTACCAAAACTTGATACTAATTTATTCAGCGTGGGACAAATGGTGGAAAGAGGATACACACTACTCTTTAAAGACTACTCTTGTACCATTTATGGTAACAAAAACAATCCCATAGCTGTAGTAAAAATGCAATAACGGAGAAACTTTCCGCTCCGTTGGAAATTCATAGAAGCAGCACTAAAAGCCGAAGAAGATCAATCATGGCTATGGCATAGAAGGTTCGGGCACTTCAACTTCAACGGGCTAAAGTTACTCCATCAGAAAAGTATGATGAAAAATCTACCGGCCATCCAAATGAACGACAATCTCTGCGAAAAGTGCATGGAGGGAAAACAACATAGAAAACCATTTCCTTCAAGCCAAGTAGGAAGAGCCAAACAAATACTGGAGCTAGTGCATACAGACGTGTGTGGACCAATGAGGACGCCGACCTTCGAGAAGAACAGGTACTTCATCCTTTTTATTGATGATTATACAAGAACGACTTGGGTGTACTTCATGAAAGAAAGGTCCGAGGTCTTCTCTATCTTCAAGAAATTCAAAAGCCTCATCAAAAATCAAAGTGAAAGAAGAATTAAAGTACTTCGGAGTGATCGAGGAACATAATACACATCCAAGGAGTTCAACAGGTTCTGCGAGGATGAAGGAGTCAACCATCAACTAACTGGCGGCTATGCTCCAGAGCAAAATGGTGTGTCAGAAAGGAAAAATAGAACTGTACAAGAGATGGCCAGGACAATGCTCGCGGAGAAGAACATGCCTAAAGAATTTTGGGCAGAAGCTGTATACACTGCAGTCTATCTACTCAACAGGTGTCCTACTAAAGCTGCCCATAATAAAACTCCAATAGAAGCTTGGAGTGGACGAAAACCGTCAGCCCAACATCTACGAGTGTTTGGGAGTATCTGTTACGTGCACATCCCAAAGGAAAAGAGACACAAATTAGAGGAGAAATCCGAGAAAGGCATATTCCTCGGCTATGCGTCTCAATCTAAAGGATACATAATTTACAGATTCAAGAATGGTAAACTAATTATCAGTCGAGATGTAGAGTTCGATGAAAATGCTGCATGGAACTGGGAGAAAGAAAAAGTTGAATACCAAAATATCATGGTACCTACACGGCGGAGGCAAAATACCATACCAGAAGAACATGAAGCAGAAGGTTCACAATCACCTCCAGCTCCACAACCTTCAAGTCAGAGGACAACAACACCATCAACTGAAGAACAGTCATCCCCAGAATCACCACCGAGAAAAGTACAAACACTCAGGGAGATCTACGAGACATGCAATTTTGACACGATGGAACCTGAAAGCTTTGAAGCAGCAGTAAAGGAAAAAGAATGGGTAAAAGCCATGAAGGAAGAAATCAGGATGATCGAGAAGAATAAAACTTGGGAGTTGGTCGATCCACCAAACAACAAGGAAGTCATTGGAGTTAAGTGGGTCTACAAGACGAAGCTTAACCCAGATGGCTCAATTCAAAAACATAAAGCACGACTGGTCGCTAAAGGGTACTCACAACTTCCCGGGATCGACTACAACGAGACCTTCGCTCCAGTTGCTCGGCTAGACACCATAAGAGCTCTAATTGCACTTGCAGCTCAGAAGAAATGGAGAATCTACCAGCTCGATGTCAAGTCAACATTTCTCAATGGCTATCTGGAAGAAGAAATTTATGTCGAACAACCTCAAGGGTTCGTAACAGAAGGACAAGAAAATAAAGTCCTAAAGCTAAAGGAGGCTCTTTACGGATTGAAACAAGCACCACGAGCCTGGTACAACCGAATTGATGATTACTTCACTAGTCATGGATTCAAAAGAAGCGAAATTGAGCCAACACTCTACATCAAGACTCAAGGTAATGACAACAAACTCATTGTCTCTCTTTATGTAGATGATCTTATTTATACAGGGAACAATGAGGAGATGATTAAGGAGCTCAAAGAAGATATGATGAAGACTTTTGAGATGACAGACCTTGGGCAAATGAGCTATTTTCTCGGCATTGAGGTAAACCAAGAAGAAAACGGAATATTTATCTCACAGAGGAAATACACAGATAATTTATTAAAAAGGTTCAAGATGGACAACTGCAAACCAGTGGCTACTCCGATGGTAGCTAACGAAAAATTCAGCAAAGACGATGGTACACCAAATGCAGACGCATCCACATACAGAAGTCTGATTGGAAGTCTACTATATCTAACAGCCACAAGACCAGATATCATGTACGCAACAAGTCTACTGTCAAGGTTCATGCAATGTCCGAGCCAAGTTCACTATGGAGCCGCGAAGAGAATACTGCGATATTTGTAGGGTACTAAAGACTACGGAATTCAATACGAATATAACGAAGACTAAAGACTGATTGGCTACACAGACATTGACTGGGTTGGATCAATTGACGACATGAAAAGCACCTCTGGCTACACATTTTCCCTTGGATCAGGCATATTCTCGTGGTCATCTAAAAAGCAAGATTGTGTGGCGCAATCATCAGCAGAGGCTGAGTATGTTGCAGCAGCACTAATAACAAGTCAAGCTATTTGGCTTAGGCGTATTCTTGGATACATGGGAGAACATCAAGAAAATCCAACTGAGATATACTGCGACAACAAGTCAGCAATAGCAATGGCAAAAAATCCGGTACATCACAGCAGAACCAAACACATTGCTATCAAATATCATTTTCTACGAGAAGCAACTAATGACAAGCAGATAGAGCTCAAGTATGTCGCCACTGAAGATCAACTTGCAGATATTTTCACAAAAGCTTTACCGCGACCAAGATTCGAGACTCTACGTGAAAAACTTGGAATTATAAGAATGATCATTAAGGGGGAGTATTAAAAATTAATGACCATTCTAGAATCAATTATTGGTTGTAATAATATTCAATTATTAGTATTATTAGTTGTCACATTAGTTGGCAATTGCAATAATTGGACTCTAGAATTATCCATTGTATGCTATATATATGTGTGAGTTTAGAATGGAAGAAAAACAAGAAGCAAAAGCAAGAAAAGAAGAATTCAAGAGTCTAATTCATCTATATTACTATCTCTTCAAAAAGTTTTTTTTCATTACATATATAATATATTCTCTTCTTCAATATTATTTTACAAATTATAATTCTTTCTCCAATTTTCTTATAAATTACTTTTGATACCAACATTATGTCACTTCGAATGTTGCTCAGTCTCATACTTTGTACATAGTGGGGCTATATTGGAAAAACTAAAGAGAACAAGGATTAGAACATTAGAAAAAAAATAAATAAATAAAATTTGTACAACTATATTTTTGTTATAAAATGCGGAGAATATAAAGAACACAATGTATAGAAACCGGATATATTTCAGAATGCTTTCTTTCTTCTTCACTTTCGTATGTACATAAATTGCAATGTATCCATCACCTTTTTATAGCCAAATTTGGCACACTATCCAATACATTATATAATATAATAATAAAAAGATAATCCTTGTTAATAATGGTAAATCCACTTGTTCCTAACACTCCCCCTTGGAGTTACCACTATTAAATGTGCGTTTATACTGCCTCGTTAAAAACCTTATCAGGAAAAACCATGTGGGAAAAAAACCGAGATAAGGAAAAAAGAGTACAGCCGCACATACTCCCCCTCGAGTTATCATCTGTACAAATCTCGAAGATGTCTCATTCCAATGTTGTGTACGTGCTTTCGAAACATTGTTGTCGGGAGCGCCTTCGTAAACAAATCAGCTGCATTATCGCTTGATCGAATGTATTGAACTTTGATTTGTTTATTTGTTTCAAGCTCTTGTGCATATGAGAAGAACTTTGGCGGGATATGTTTAGTTCTGTCACTCTTAATGTATCCTTCTTTGGTTTGAGCGACGCATGCTGCATTGTCTTCGTATATCACCGTCGGGTCATTATTGTTCGATAGTCCACTGGCTTGTTGAATATGTTGAGTCATGTTTCTGAGCCAGATACTTTCCCTAGTTGCTTCATGAAGTGCAATGATCTCAGCATAGTTTGAAGATGTCGCAACTAATGTTTGTTTCTGGGAGCGTCAAGAAAATGCAGTTCCGCCAATCATAAAAACGTATCCAGTTTGGGATCTTGCTTTATGAGGACTGAGAGATATCCTGCATCTGCAAAACCGATTATTTCACGTTTTTTATTGTTAGAATAAAACAGTTCCAAATCGATTGTCCCTTGGAGATAACAGAATATATGCTTAATTCCATTCCAATGTCTCCTCGTAGGTGCCGAGTTATATCTTGCTAATAAATTGGTAGCGAAAGATATATCTGGTCTGGTACAATTAGCAAGATACATAAGAGCTCCTATGGCACTCATATATGGTATTTCAGGACCAAGTATTTCTTCATCTTCTTCACAAGGTCGAAACAGATCCTTTTCAATATATAATGTTCGATTGACCATTGGAGTACTAAGTGGATTCGCCTTGTCCATATTGAATCGTTTCAGTATTCTTTGAGTGTAATTAGATTGATGGACAAATATCCCATTTTGGACCCGTTCTATTTGCAAGCCGAGACAATATTTGGTCTGTCCGAGATCTTTCATTTCAAATTCGCCTTTTAGTAAAGTGACTGCTTCTTGAATTTCATTTGTAGTCCCAATAATATTAAGATCATCGACATAGACAACAATTATCTCAACTCCATCTTTTGATCTTTTTATAAAAACACACGGGCATATTTGATTATTTATGTATCCCCGTTTAAGCAATTGTTCACTCAAACAATTGTACCACATACGCCCGGATTGTTTCAAGCCATACAATGATCTTTGCAGCTTTATCGCACATAACTCTTTAGGTTTAGACTTTAGTGCTTCGGGCATTCTAATTCCTTCTGGAATTTTCATATAAATGTCAGCGTCTAGTGATCCATATAAGTAAGCAGTCACAACATCCATAAGACGCATCTCAAGATTTTCATGGATGGCCAAACTAATCAAGTATCTGAAAGTAATCGCATCCATAACAGGGGAATATGTTTCATCATAATCGATCCCAGGCCTCTGGGAAAATCCCTGTGCTACAAGGCAAGCTTTTATCTTGTGATCTCATTTTTCTCATTTCTTTTTCTGACCAAAACCCATCTGTACCCAATAGGTTTTATGTCTTTAGGTATAATGGTAATAGGTCCAAACACCTTTCGTTTATTAAGCGAATTTAACTCGGCTTGAATAGCACCTTTCCACTTGTCCCAATCATGTCTTTTCTGACATTCAATCATAAGTTTTGGTTCAGGATCCTCAACTTCTTTGTCAATTTCTTGTGATACCATATATGCGAACGCATCATCAATGATCCCATCACGCTTCCAAAGTTTCCCATTATTTACATAATTGATGGAGATTTCAATATTTTCATTTCGTTCTGAAATTTTTCCATCATCTTGATTCTTTTTCAAATTCGAATCTTGAATTTCTCTTTTCTTTCGAGGATTCTTATCTTTAGACCCCACTGGCCTTCCTCGTTTCAAGCGTGCCTTTAACTCATTTGGCATATCGTCATTTGCCATTTATTTTGGAATCTCAATTCGAGCAGGGGCATTTATAGCTGCAACATGTGATTTTGTCACCCTTTTTGTGTCAGTAAATGCATCTGGCAATTGATTTGCAATATTCTGTAGATGTATAATTTTTTTAACTTCTTGCTCTCTTTGTTTGGTGGGAGGATCAAGATATGATAGTGATGATGTTCTCCATTCAATATTTTTCTCAATTGACTTTTCATTCCCACCTAAAGGGGGAAATAATTCTTCATTAAAATGACAATCATCAAACCGAGCTGTAAAAACATCACCTGTTTTTGGTTCAGGGTATTTTATTATTGATGGAGATTCATATCCAACATATATTCCCAACCTTCTTTGAGGCCCCATTTTCGTACGTTGGGGCGGAGCAATTGGTGCATACACTGCACAACCAAAAATTCTTATATGTGCAATATTTGGTTCTCGACCAGATGCCAACTGTAATAGCGAGTATGTATGGTGTGAACTTGGTCTTATGCGAATTAGATTATCTGCATGCAGAATAGCATGTCCCCATACTGAAGTGGGCAGTTTTGTCCTCATTATCAATGGTCTGGCTATAAGCTGCAATCGTTTGATCAATGATTCTGCTAGACCATTTTGAGTATGAACATGTGCTACAGGATGTTCAACATCAATTCCCACTGCCATACAATAATCATTAAATGCTTGAGATGTAAATTCTCCAGCATTGTCCAGTCTGACCCTTTTGATAATATAATCTGGGAATTGAGCCCTTAATTCGATAAGTTGGGCAAGCAATTTAGCAAATGCCACATTTCTAGTGGATAACAAACTCACGTGAGACCATCTACTAGAAGCATCAATTAACACCATAAAATATCTGAATGGACCACAAGGTGGATGAATAGGTCCACATATATCACCATGAATTCTTTCCAAAAATAACGGTGATTTAATAAATCTTTGCAAAACGTATTCTTGCCAGTGTTCTAAAAGTCGCTAGGCGTCAGCGCCTAGGCAGGCCTAGGCAGCGCCTAGTCGGGGCCTAGAAATCAATATTAAATACCTTATTTTTATTTATTTTAACTATCTACAAAATAAAATTATCTCAACTTATAATAAATCGACACTCCTAGGTCCAAATAATAAAATTAATATATTTTAAACAAAAAATGAGAACATAATAATGTAATTAGTATTAACAAAAAAACTGAAAAATTACCGCCGAGCCCGCCTAGGTCCGCCTATGCCTGCCTAGGCGTTGCCTAATCGCCTGGCCGCCGAGTCCGCCTAGGAGCGCCTAGAGTCGCCTAGGCGCCTGGCCAATTTTCTCTGCCGATTTGTACAAATCGGAGGCGCTCGGGCACCGCCTAGCGTCTAGGCGCCGCCTAGACGGCCGCCTAAGCCGATTTTTAGAACAATGATTTTTGCACACTGATTTTTACGAGCTCTTGCACAAGTGAGTGTTCATTTCAATAGAAATATGTTAAGGTCGCAGTAATTAACTTATACAATTAATTTTAATATTAATACCACATTTATTTGGTAAAATTAATTTTAAAAGAGTTTTTCGTATATCTCTTTGTATATAATTTCCGAATGTGAAACTCAATGGTAGACTAGCACGCTTTGTAATCTCATGTGACAAATTTTCAAACTTTGTTGTTTAGCTTAGGTTGATTTTAATTTATTTTGAATTCAAAGTAACAAGGCTTAAAATATTCAGGATATTTATGGTATTTTCTAAGTGTATTAATTATATATTAATATCATTCGATGTTATACACATGGTTC